ACAGATGTTGAAGGACGACCTGAACGTGGAGCATCTTGAACACTAAAATTATCGCGTTGAAATTCACGAAACCAATTGAAGACTGTGTGATCAGAAGGTGCTTGCTCCCCCCATGCTTGCAACAAACGGGTATGGCTATCCTTGTATGTTAAGCCAATTTTCCAATCATATAAAATCATAGTGCGAAATTGTTCACGTGGGAGTTGAAAACTCATATCGAAAGTGATGCGAGGGTGACATGAAAAAAAAAGAAAAAGTACAACGATGAGTAATGCGTGGACGACTGAAATTTTGCACATAGTCCTAAATATGTTTAAGTATTATAGCGGAATAGATGTTCTCAAATTACCATTTCTAGAAGAGCTGTATGAAAAAACTTTTGTAGTGCCCTATGTATATTATAAAAATTCATCGGAATAAGGAGAATACCCGGTGCCTTAACTAGTTCAAAATAATTGCATTAGAGTGATAAATATAAAATTCACTTCATGTATTTCAAATTCATTGATTTAAAAGGTTACTTTCATCAATTTAATCCCATTTCGCTGATAAAAGCTCAAAATCATTGCGTTTGCTTCGTTAAAATGTTTCTTTCAATCAATGAATCTGAAATGAATAAGAATTAATATTTGTTCATCATCTGCAATTGCATTTTTCGTATCTTAATACAAAATTCATAAAAGTAACAGAAAATTTTGATCCTTTAAATTTCTGGGTATATTGTTGATTGTACTTTTTCCTATCAAATCCGAGTAATCTAGATTATTGCAGACAAAAACTAAACCAAAGCCAAGCATTAGATATAAAATTCAACTACAAATCCAAATATTAGATATTGAACTCAAATCCCAGAGTAAACCAAATCAAAATCTAAAATCTAATAGAAGTGCCTCAAAATAAATGCTAATATATCTGGTTTGTTGCATCCATATGGGTGACGTTCCTACTCATAGAAGCCATGAGATTAGACAGGTAATTCGAATATACCCAATATATTTTAACATGTGAGTGTAGAGAGAGAAGTACAGATACCAACAAGAAAAGTCATTTTATTTCATTTATTCTTGCTTCCAATCGAGTGCATCGAGATTCCTTCAGTTATGTTTTTCGTCAAGTCTACTATCTAGATGTTATAGATCCTCAGACTTCATTTCAAAAATATTTCTTTGTTTTTTGGACTTCTGCAATCAGATGAAGCCTACCCCATCTAAACCGTAGATATTTTCCATATCGGTCACGACAGTCTGAAGCGTTCCTTCAGCGAATTCTTCAGGCAAGCGGCTATTCGTTCGTCGGCGCTCCTCCGAGGCTCCATTCACGACTAGCCGCTACCATCCTTGTCTACTTCGCCATAAGATTAGGCTCTTCGACTTGTAATCTATATGATTTCACGCTTCGCTTCATTCGAGACAGCATTTTGTTTATAGCAAGAGATTTCTCGATGGAAAATTTCAAACAGAAACCTAGTGCTGAATTATTTCATGTCTCTTTATTTCATCTTTTAGCTAGCAAATCAGAGGTTTACTGAAATTCCGCATTAAGGGAATCTTACTGCAATATATTCTCATAAAGCACCCGTGCTTATATAGAGATCTTCTCTAAAGCAAATCTACCGTGAGCTTACAACATCGGCGACTAGTCGGCCTATTATTTCAATGCATCTGAACAATAGTTGATTGTTGTCGATTTATAATGAGAGTTGTGACTCCACTTTCACATACCTCTTTATATAACCATTTTCAAGTCATAATGTCGAGAAAGTTCACGAGTAAGAACTCATATTGGAAAACACTGAATCGTCAAATACGTGGCCAGGAAGAAATATCATGGGAGTAGATAAAACAGAGACACCGTTAATACAGGATTTCGTAAACTTATATATGACTGTCAGAGTGCTGGTGGACATGAATACAAATGCTCATAGGATCCTCAATATGATTTTCGTGACTATCATAGAGGCCATGATACTTTTCCGTCTCCAATGTATATTTCGAAAACCACCACGATACGAAACCTTACTGATAGGCTGCTGAAATGCAGTCCATTACATAATAGGAAGCACACTTCGTCTATAAATTTAACTCATCGCACATTTACATCCGAGTTAATTTGCTAATTATCAATCAACTCTTCCTGACCATAAGTACTAGGAAGAGAAATAATCGCAACACATTAAGTGAACAAAACCAGGGGAAACTTTAAACAACATAGAGCCGAACACTAAAACATTGAATGCGTTGCAATCGCCTCATGGAAATCATGAAAACTAGTTCAAATCAATCAGAATATCGTCCTTGACGTAACATTCACAAATATGGAAACCTAATCCTCACAAAACGGCAACACCGTATACATATCATATTTTGCACGACTGCCGAGAAGCGGGGAAACGAAAAACCTTTTTTCGTAAAAAAGCTTTTCTGGTGTGTAAAAACCCAAACTCAAAACACGGATCATGGATTCGGATTCTCCGATCCCGATTACCTTTGGTCAGACTTTATAGTGCGTTTCCATGAAAGCGGTCAAAGAAAACATTATTTTGTTCTGTGCGAACGAACGAACGTAATCAACTCATTTTGGCGTAAGACCCTCCTTTCAGTAGAGGGAATATGTTTGTATCTGATCATATCATTTAGTAAAGGTCGGTTGGAGACGAAACTTGTTAATTACTTTACAGTATTTTCTTTTTCCGAGTCGTCGAACTGCACACGAATTCTTATTCCTTCTTAAGATGAAGAATTTTGAATTTGGATTGCGTCAGATTGTAAAGGAAACTTCAAAAACTCCGATAACTTTGAACAGAATTCTATAGAAAATTATTAGGTATGGGATTCGACGTTTGAAAATCAACAGCTTAAATTGTGCTTCATTTTAATCACAGAATTACGTGGTAGCTAGAGGAACTGAACTTCTTCAGAATACTTTAAACATCACTTAGGAATAGGACAATTTGTCATTAATATTGAAACAGTATGCCTCCTTTGCAACTTTAGACGGAAACTCAAGCCACTCATACCCTCGATAGAATTTTTTTCTGATTTTGTCATTACTTTAGGTGATTTTAGTTTTCTATTACATTAATTTGTTGAATAATAAATCTAAAACAAATTCTATCTGATTCGACTGGTTGATTTTGACCTGAATGTGTTTTTGTAGAGCTGTCGATTGTCAAAGGTATTCTTTATCATGTTTGATAAAAACCATGTGCTTATCGACGCATTTTTATGTTATAAGTTTTGTTTTCTTCTTTTATTGGGTAAAAAACGAAAGAAAAATAACATTTTTGATAGATGCCCTTGACAAAGTAAACGCAAATGATTAATAAATATAATACATTTTCTTTTTGTCTGTAACAAGTTAACTTTCGATTATTATAAAAAAAAAACAGAACTAAATTCAACAGCGTAATCAATATTGATTGAATGATATAATACAATGAGTAAAACAAATGAAAATGAAATGAATGCCAATGAAATTGGTCATTTTGAACGATTACCAGACGAAATTTTGTTAAATTTATTTGAAAATTATATTCGTTTAATTGATGTTTATGTTGCATTTCATTTTCTTAATCATCGTCGAATAAATGGAATTATAAAGTCTGCTCGTTTCTATATAATTATTCCATCAAAAGATATATTTCATGCAAAATCTTTTTCACATTTTTCTTCTCAAATTGTTTCATTACATCTTTCAGCATTTTGTAATGATTTGGATTTATCAAAACTAGTTAACCTTCGTTTATTACATATTGAAAAACCAACACAAACACAATTAACTTCAATTCGTGCAGAATTTCTTCCAAATCTTTTTTATTTATCTCTTTCACCTTGTTGGTATTGTCTGCAAGAATTACCAAGACATTTAAAAAATATATCTGAATCATGTTCTTTCAAACATATGCAGTTTTGTATCTTACCTGATGGAAAAACTATCCGTATTCGACCAAAACATGAATAACTTCATACATTAATATGATAGAAGGACAAAAATGGTAATTAGAATATCAAATATTATTTCATTCATTATTTAATGATTGATTGTAAAATTAGAAGAAAGAAAAGTCTAGTAACTATATTTTCATTTGTTTCTCGTTGATTGATTTGAATATTAAAATTGTTATAGTTATAGTTATAGTTATATGAATAAGATTGTACGATAGATGAAAATGAATAGATACAATACATACAATCTCTTTTTTCTTCTGATGAACAAAACATAATGAGAGAAAAAAACCAACAAATGACAATCAATGTGACTTTTAAACAATAAACAAACAAATATTTTTTTTTGTTTTTTTTCTATCTATAAAAACAGAAGTTCACGACATGTGACATTCAATGTCTAACTTTGTTTTTACAAACTAATAACGGGATACAAGGGGAAACAAATAATATAATACAAAGAAAAGAAGACAAAAAAGATTTACGATCGTCCTTGATTATTATTATTATCAAATGATGTTTGACTCATTGATAAATGAATATCATTAACATCCCGTACAGTTTTTATTCTCGTTAACATATGATCCATTGTTGAAGCAGATAATGGTTGAGATGAAAACCAAAGTGGTGATTCAGGTACACATGTTGCTTCAGGTAATAAATATAAAACATCTTGTCGACATTTAACACTTTCGGGACATTTTGTTAAATAAAATTCAAATAATTTAACTGGACATCGAAGTGGATCATCATAATTTTCAGCTTGTTCATAGATTAATTGTTGTTCTTCCATTCCATGAATTGTTGTTGATGGTGGATAATATCTATTTATTTAATAGACAATATCATTATCAATTAAAAATAAATTCTTTTTCATTATTCAAATTAAACTCACAAGAATATGAAAAGATTCTATATTCATATATCAAATAAAATAAAGTTAATTAATATTTTCTGTAAAAACAATTTCGATAGGTTATATTAAGTTTTTATTTGACTTTTATAAATAGTAGATATAGAATTATTTATTTCTATATAACTATTATCTAATGAGGAATTCTTATTTGGAAATTTATAAAATCTAACTATTCTACTTATGAGATATAACATAACAATAATCATTATATTAGTCATAAAAAATAAAAATATTCAATAGAAGATAAAGAAATATTTCATAGATAATCATTTTTAAAATATTCATATTAAAAGTAGAAGAGAAATTTTCTATTAGTTAATATCTATTTATAGAAATATCTATTTTTAAACATTGATTAACTATGATTAATTAGTCAATTATTCTATTGTTGAATAATATGATTATTTTTTTTGCCTTGATTATCAAATCCTTGTCTAACTATGAAATAAATCAGATAAGAATATATGTCCTATATACATTTATTAATCATAATACAATCATTTCGTTGACCTTTAGTAACAATCATTGTTTTTAAATGTATGACATTTCGTAAAAATAATATTTACTCTACCAATGAAAATTCTTCTAGAAAAGTTTATTTATATTATTATATAAATGTATTAGAATTTTAACCAATGATTAAAACAAAATATAATTTATTCTATAAATAGATATTGTCTCTTTATTCTCTTCTATTGTCAAGAACATTAAAATATATTGTTGATAAATTAAAAAATTCATTTCGTTTTTTATATTATTGTTATTAGAAACTCATTAGATATGAACAAGATTAATTGTTTTAATTTCAGTTCAAGTTAAATAAAATTCTAATCTTAATCATTTTAAGACTGAGATCAATTTGAAATTATCAATATCAATCAATAATTGATTTCATTGAAATATTTTCTATGATTAATCATAAATTTTTTTCAATTAAATTATTGTGATAAAGAATAATTAGAGAATTTTCTCAAAATCTTCTATGGAAAAATTGAATAAAATTTTGATTTAAACAAACCTTAAATAAACTGATTTTCCATATTCTTCTCCATGTGGTCCAACATTTCTTTTATAATGTCGTCTAACATTTGAAAATGATAAAACTTGATGTTCATTAACAGTTTTAAGAAAAAAATATTTTGTATTGAAATATAAAATCGTATTTAATAAAACCCATGGTGTATGTGCACCTAATTGTTTCGCTTCCCATAATAATTCTTCTTCAATACGTGATGGACGATCATCAATATTTGAAGATGTTGGTCCACGCATTGATAATGGTCTTGATGGATCACGATGATGACAAAAACGAACAAGAATTGAATGAAGTTTTGATTGAAACTGAAAAAATGTTGAATCAAAAAATATTGATTCTGTACGATAAAAATGTCCTTCATTTAAACGACGTGTTGTTGTTGTTGTTGTTGTTGTTGTTATTGTTGATGATAATGATGATAATGGACGATTTTCACGTAAATAATGTTGAATACCCAAACAAAGATAATAAATTGAATCTCCATCATATAAATCTCGAATTTCTTTTAAAAAAAGACAAAGTGCTGTATTTAATTCATCAGCACGATATAATAATGGATCGGATCGATAAAGACGTTTTGATAAATTATTTTCACTATCATTTGATGATAAATTTCTAACACGTACATTTTCTATTTTATTTAAAAATTAAATTAAAATAAATAAAAATAAAAATAAAAATAAAAATAAAAATAAACTTACGTTGAAATAATCTTTGTCTAATTGGTTTATTTTTATTTTCAATCCATGCACGAAATAATTTAACACCAAAATGCCATTTAAGAATATATTTCGCATCTTCTTGTCTCATTAAATATTCTATTTTTTCATGTAAATTTCCATTTGTTGTATTATGATGTTGTTCACCACTTGTTAAACTCATTGTTGATAAATCAAAATCTTCAAATTCAAATACTAATTTATTTAAAACATTATCTCCAGCTGTTAATTCTTGTTCAATTTGATTATTTTCATTTGATCCTCGTCCAACAATATGAACTTCATCATTTTCAACTTCATCCAATGGTGAACTCTAATATAAAAACAAAATTAATTATTTTTATACTATAAATTCAATTATTACTTTTTTTTTATTTCGTTCATGTAAAACTACTATGAAATTATATTTACTTAGAATTTTCTTCTTGTTTTTATTCCAAAATTAATCTTTCAATAGAATATTATAGTTTCTTATTCATAATGAATATCTCATAGAATTCATTATAATAATTAAAAATTTATAATCAGATGCAAATAATTTAATAAATAAAGAGATTCGATTAATTTGATTATTTCTATTCAATATTTACTTAGAAAAAAACTAAACTAAAAAAACTTTAAATCCTATAAAAAGTAAATGACCAGTTTCTTATTATATTGTTCGAACATATTGATGTTAACAACAATCGATGAAATAAAAAAAAAAACCTAATAATTAACTAGAATCTTAAATATGTAATGTTTATATAAATTTTCTTCTGTGATGTAGAAAATGAAAGAAAAAAATAACATCATATTGTAAATATTTTTTAGTTTTTTTAAAGATTAAAAACAAAAAATAAAAAACTAAACAATAAAATTTGTTTAATTGAAAATCTTTTCTTAAAAAATAAAT